AAGAGGCCATAGAATCTGGAGATGATTTGCAAGGTAGGCTAAGTGTTTGTTTATTCATTCATTGGGGATGGGCTGTAGCATAGTTTGGTTAGAGTGTTGGACTCTTTACATGACATCATTTGCTATCTATCATCAGACTAACAATGGTTGTGGGTTCTACTCTGCTCTTTAAAGATCTAAAAAAACAGTAGGCTTATGTGCTCTTTTGGCAAATTATCCCTCTGTACACACTGCAAGGAGTTACTCACATTCATCAGGGATGTAAAACTCCATGTATTTCATATCATTCAATATGTCTAATTTTGTTTTCAGTATTAAAATTAGTAAAAAAAGGTATTGATCCTAATTTTACAACTGGTAATGGCGTTTCTCTGTTACATAAGGTTGGTGGCCTTTTTTTATTTCCAAATCCTTGACGTGGCTTAGCGAGTTACATGCTTACCCGTTAATCTAATCCCCCAAAAAGTTGAGATAATACCTACATTCGTCTCCCCTCCTCCTCTCCCCCCTCTTTAAAAAGTATTTGTACCCCAACTTCAACTTCAGTTGTCCCCCCATTGAGTCAGTCTGCGCCCTATTTGTACCCCTCAGGAATCTAGCGCTGCCACTAGCTTTCATAAAAATTGTTTTTCAGTGTTGTACAGAAGGGAATGCCATCGTAGCAGAAATCCTGATTTCACAAGGAGCAGACGTGAACATCAAGGATGATGATTGGTGGACGCCATTACACACTGCTTGTCACCTTGACAACACAGATCTAGTCCAACTCTTACTAAATGTAAGTAAATTTTTCTCAAATTTGTTTGTGTATTTTGACAGAAGTGTGCTTGATGCAGATGACAAATAGCACAGAATTCTGTTAAGCTCCGTGGACTCTCTAAATGTATATTTTGCTCTATTTTATAATTTAATTACAGAATGGAGCTGAAGCGTCCATCTTGGATGTGGATGGTAATTTTCCTATCGATCACGCTCCAGCTAAATCGGAGTCATATAACTTACTGGCTACACATCTCGAGGAAAAAGGTAAAGTATTTTTGAAAGCAGTGTGATGGATCAGTGCACCAATGAACCTTGTGTGCACTCAAATCATACCTTATATTACAAATCTGTCTAATACCTTGACATCAGGAAGTAAATTTGATTGGCTACATTTGCTAGCAAAGCCAATCAGAGCCCTCGACAGACTGTAAACAATTTATAATATCTTTTATTGCAAGGATGTAAAACTCCTTTTGAGATCATATGTTTCTTTTCTTTTTTTATGTAAAGTGATTAAAAAGTGTATAGTTGTCCTAGCAAAAAAAGTAGGATGTAAAACTCCATTTTATTTGAGCATAAATTAGAAAAATGGAAAACTGGAAATGTAAAACTCCAAAAATGCTGAAAAAATGTTATCATTTATTGCAGGACTGGATAGTAACGAGTTGTCCGAGTTAAGAATTGCCGCCTCTAGATACGTCTGCCTTGAAATCCAGACGTTTATTGACCATGGAGTGGACGTCAGCAAGCCATTGTTTGATGGAATTACTTGGGTAAGAATCAGAACTGGTTTCCTCATTGAACACTGCAACACTTGAACACATCTCATCGCTACTGACTGCACTATTCCACTATTAGCCAACTTTTCCTTATTGCACACAGTGTGGCGTTGCATGTCATCAATAGCCTAATTAGGAGCAGAAAGCAAGGGCAGATGGAACACCCGATACTGATGTTCATGCCACTTTCCTGGCAAAATTTACCTCATTGCACACTGCCTGGCATTTCTGTCTTCAATAACAATCAGATTCAGAAAAGCAGGATGTAAAACTCCATTTCATTTCATTTTAGTTGCATATAGTATGTGCTAATGGCTATAAAAAAGGATTAAAATTGTTGCTGGAAAACCAAGCTGATGTAAATGCAGTAGACTTGAACGGTTGGACACCTTTACATGTAGCTGCCAAGTTTAATCAGGTAAGAAATCTTTTGATTAGGAAAGCATAGAGTGAAAATCTCGGGAGAGAAGTTGCATTAATTTTGCAGAGTAAGAGCTGGGGCCTTTATCTTCAAAACTTGACTCTTTAAAAAAAAAGACTTAATAGGCTTATTTGACTGGTCGATTTTGTTGAACACGTAGAGTTTGTTAACAACGAAATATGTTCGACTGGTACCTTAGTGGGGTTTCGTTGAGCACGAAACTTAGAGTTTTTCTTCCGTTAAGACAGTCATGTGAACACTTCAAGATGGCCGCTGGCAGGAGAATGTTGCTGCCTTGAGAGAAGACACTAGAGCAAGCGACTGGTATAATATGTTCCGTTGAGCACGTTTTACTACTGCACAGCTTGTAGCATACTCAACCAAATCTACCAGTCGAATTTCTCTATTATTAAAAGATGATACAGGTCATTCCTGGCTTTCATAAGGCTTTTTTCCCTTTTTCTGTTTTTTCTCTCCTGCCTTTACAGATTTTTTCAGTAAAACAAGGAAGTAGGTTGGTCTGGCATAAGACAAAAAGAATGATTTGAAAATGTTAAGAAAAATTGTTAATTCGAAGGTTGGGCCTCTAGGGCACCTCCACTTTAAAGATGGTTTCCCTTATTTTCATAAATGAAAATGCCAATACTTATATGAATAGAAAGTAGATATGTTCTAATGACTTGGAAAAATACCAGTTTGTCTCACATGTCTATAATTAATTCATAATTAGCTAAATTAGAGGAGAATTACCAGCAAGGTCAAAAAGTTTTTTGTTTATCCAGACTGTAAATACATGTACATTTATGATTGGTTGAAACTCTTAATGCAATAAGAACATTATGATATGATTAAGAATACATAATAATTCATTAGAAACACCAATCAAATAGTTTGCTTAATTCGACACTAAAAATAAAGAAACCCATCTTTAAGCTTGACAGTTAGTCCAGGAAGCTTACAGTCTGTAAAACTTGAACATTTTCTAGCTGATAAAACTCATAAATCAATGATTAGTGAAAAAAAAATGTTAACAAAAATGACAAATTTGTGTACAAAAGGAAAAATGCTTTAAATGAAATTGATATCATATTGGAACTGGGGGCCACTATGGCACACCTCCCCTTTCATCAAGAAAGCTTCAGTTGTAAATAGGAAGAAATATTGAAGGGTTTTCTGTTTTTATATGTCCTTGGGGTCCTATTGTTATTTTGATGGTGTTGATAACAATTTTTTATTGGCCCTAAAGGGTGTGAGCATATTTGCATGTATTTGCATTGTATATTCAAACAAATAAAAATACACTTAGTGAATAGCAGTGACTTAACATATTACAAAAGTATTTAAAGGGGTGGTCTGCATAATTTTCATTATTAAAAACAGTGGTAAATTATACTTGAAAATACATCTTAAATACACTTTAAAAGAGATTGTAAAGAGATTTTCTAAATTTTTTATGTATATCAGGGACCTTGATAGCATCAACCTTCACCATTCAATTTTCAATCAGACATCTATGGTTCCTGCAATTTCACTTAACATTGTGAATGATGATTATTGAGAAAATATTTCTAAAATATGCTATTTATATCTATGTATCTACTTGATCAAATTGAATTTGTTTTAAAAGGGTTAATTAAAAACAGAGCATACTAATTGTTAATTAAGCAGTTTGACCTAGTTTTGGTGTTCTTTTTCCAACCTTTTGAAAATCAGACTGCCACTTTAATAAGTATATCATTGAGTGTGGGTCTCTTTCACAATGGGTCACAAACATAATGGGTATTTCTATTGAACAAGCAGGAAGGTATAAAAACATAGATCTAATATGTGAGCAATTTGGCTTTAAACCTAAAATTGTAGCACCAATTTGTGAATTATTTTAAGTTTTCGAGACCTAGAACATGTACCAGAAGCTGAAACTTATATTTTTAGTTTAGAATTTTAAGGGAAATTTCTCAAGACCATTTTGGATTAAAACAAAAAATTTAAATGTTTAATTCTTTCAAATCTATGGAGGAAAGTTTTTAAGGATTGAATTTGCGTAACTGAATTTCGGATGGAAATGTTTTCAAGGATTTCATTTGTTAACGTCTTAATTTTGGATTTTGTTTTGTGTGAAATATATTTCTGGAGAAGTTCTGATCAAACCAAAGTCTAAAATTGTAAATACTTGGAGGACATAGGATATATTAGGAAAGCTAGCTTGTGTCACTTCCTGATAGAATTTCCTTGATTGCTAACAAACTAGATGCCAGATGTTCATTTTGATAAGAGATACAGCTAGGTGGTAAGTCTCCCGGCTGATTCTAATGATCTGGTACATCTGATACCAATCTGATGACACTTTGACATTATTTTCAGAGAGTCCACATTAACTTTATCATTTCAGTACAGTCTTCCATTTTTGCACTTTTGACGTCAGGGAGCAATTACAAAATGGCAGCTAGTCAATATTGACTTGGGAACCTCTAGTGAAAAATTCTCAAAGTTTTTGTCAATATTAATATATGGACCCCAAGTTTTGCAAACCTTTTTTAACATAAAAGGAAAACTGTTTAATATACAGGGTGGTTTCTGGTTGAAAGCCAAAATTTTTTATTCTATTGAATATTGATCTATAACCCTGGGACTAGGGTGTCAGGGGTGTGGCCAATTGGTATAGGAGAAGAATTTGTCTTGAATTGAAAGAGCACCTCACATCATCACATGCTGAAAATGTGGATGAAACAAATTTTTGGGGGTGTGAAAGGGCGAGGTGATTGCTCCAGGGGTGTGAAGGCTGAAAAAGGGAACCACTGATCTATAAAAAATTTCTTTCTTTTCAGCTAATGGTGGTAAAAATTTTATTAAAATGTAACGCGCGAACAGATATTGCTGGTATCCATGGTTTCCGACCAGTTGATGTGGCTGCCACAGAAGAAATTCAGAGACTTATAGATGACCACAGAAAAAGGCGGCAATGTTCAGAGACATCTGAAACTGATTTTGAAGAAATTGAGGAAGAGGATGCCTTCCTTTCAAAAACAGTGTAAGCATAGATAGAGCTCAATTTCAGCTAACTGTATCACTTTTCAAATTTTAAATCAGACATTTGCACATTCTGCAATTGAACAAGCCAATGACTTCTATACGATTTCTTGCAGACGCCCACCAGAACTGCCATTACCAAAAGCTGAAAAGTTCATGGAAGCTCAGATTCGAGCTCAGTACCTAGATGATGTTCCAACTCGGAAAACTAAAATGTCTGAACATGAATCTGAGAAAGATTTTGATCACGTTTCCACCATTTTGAAAGTTCATCCTTCAGAAAAGGTAGATTGGAATTTTCTGTTTTTAAATTCTCATGTTCATATTTGTTTTCATTCAATTTCTGCTCAGGTTAGTAGTAAGTGATGCAGGGAGGAGAGGTATAAAAACAGCTTAAGAACATCTAGAAGACCTTTTCATCTTTAGAATTAAAGATCCTTCTACACTTGGTGCATTTATATTGGCAAAATTTCCCTCATTGTACACTGCAGATATTCATCTTCATAATGAGGAAACTGAAATGTTGACAATGGAACTCCATTTCATTTAACTTTTGGATATATTTTGCAACTTGCTGGTTGCCATGACAATAATGGCCGCCATCTGACTATTTACTGTTGCTGTTTCCAGGGAACACTACCCTCTACTGGTCCATCTGATGACTTGACACACCTTGCTACCTTAACTGAAAGACACATTCTAGAGATTTTACAAGAACGCTATAAATACAACAAAATATATGTAAGTCATGAGCTTTTTTTAACCTTAATAAAATACAGATTGGGTGTTTCGTTTCATACTTTTCTGCAAGAAACTGACAAAACACAAAGATCTGCATTATCATTATAGCCTTAACAGTTTTTCTACCGTGTTTCACTGTATCAAGTTAGCCTTACTGTAGGAATTCGATTAGTATGACAATGGATTGTGATGTATGACCTAAATTTTTGAATTTTTGGGTCGTTGGAAAGGACAATAAACCAAAACATTAATATGATTTCAGACTAATATAGGTGAGATATTAATAGCTGTGAACCCTCTACAGACATTACCGTACTATTCCAAACAGGTTGGTGTTTTTTTGGTCAGTTTAGAAGCCTACCCCTTTCAGAGAGTCCACATAGCTGATGATATTAATTTGGTATTTGGCATGGTGAATTGAGTAGCCTGCCCCTTTCGGAGAGTTCACATTGTGAGCTCACAAAATCACATTAGATTTATAAGCTTGACATTCATTTTTGAGAGTCCACATGTGGATGCTACATTAAAAGGAAGCTCAAATTTCATATATTTGGATTTCCTCATTTCAGATTTGTCATTTGTATCAAAATGCTAATATTCTGTGCCGACTGCCACCTCATATCTATTCCAACGCTGAACATGCCTTACGTGAGATGCGGGCGTCTGGGCGTTCTCAGTGTTGTGTGATTGGTGGAGAAAGCGGTTCGGGGAAAACAGAAACGTGTAAATTTATCGTTCAACATCTGATTGAGGTGTCTAAATGTCAGGACATAAATCTTCTTCACAAAATACATCAGGTAAATTCTTATATATTGATGAGGGACTGGCTGTAGCTCATTCAGTCAGAGTGTTGGAATCTTTACATCATTTGCTTGGTTATGTTGGAACAAAATGGTGGTCATTGGTTCTACTTTCAGTCTGTGTGTGAAAGTCTGGTGGCCTTGAATAAGTCATCTTTCGTCACTATTCCAGTCAACCCAGCTGTAAATGGGTAGAGATGATCTGGAAAAGATCAATGCCGACAGGTTTGGCCAAGGACCAACTGGCAGACAGGATATTTGTGGACTAATTCTGTTATCCTTGTAAAGAATAGTTGTTGCTTCCTTTCTTTCTGTCAAAGATCCCTTAACAGTTTTCCATCAAATGAGTAGACCAATGGCAAATTTCCCCTCATTACACACTGCATGGTGTTGACCGTCATCAGCCTAATCAAGTCCAAAGTCCAATTTCATTTTCTCTTCAGATCAATCCATTGCTGGAAGCGTTTGGTAATGCTCAGACATTAATGAACAACAATTCCAGTCGCTATGCCAAATATCTAGAGCTGAAATATTGTCCACAAGGCAAGAAACTACTAGGAGGTAAGAATTGTTCATTTTTCAAGAGAATTTCTTTTGTTTCCTAGCTATTTTTGTTATTCTTGGCATTGTTCAAACATTTGAAATCATCTTCACTGCATCTTATACCTTGACATCATTAGACACTTTTTCTGCATAAGAAAGTTTGCAAATACAACCCTCAACACAAAGTCTGTAACTACTTATTCTCATCTGTATTGTGAATTTATGTCAAGGTATAAGACAGTTTGTTTGTTCACTGAAAATATGAAATGACCTTGACCTTACAATACTCTTTCAGCCTCCCTTAAAGAGTATCTCTTAGAAAAGTCACGGGTAGTTAACCATGGCAACCAAGAGTTGAATTACCATATATTCTATTGGATGTTAGCAGGGCTGACTGTAGAGGAGTGTCGTGTCAATATGATAGACAAAAAAAAACCCTACAGGTAACAAAATATACCCCCCCCCAGATGTTAGGGTAGGGAAAGGGGGCCAGTATTAATAACCATGGCAACAAGGAATTAAATTAACCATCTACACCCGATTATCAATACTCATTAAAAGCTTGGTCCACTGGAATAATGCGGAAAAATTAATCAAGGTCACAAGATTTTCACAGGATGAGAATCTACAACCACCATTTGTTCAACGGAACCAAATAAATAACCTCAAGATTTTAACGCTTTAAGGCACTGAGCTACACCGTGTCCTCTTTTGTTAAACTGCTCAGTTTCTCTTATCACTGTTACTGGAGGCTACAGGTCCCCCCCCCCCCTTTCTCCCGATCCACTGTATGTTTTTGCCCTGTTTTTTTCCAGATATCTGGGTGAGGATTTCAGTCCACAGATGACGATAGAAAACAAACAGAAATTCTGGGAAGTAAAAGAATGTTTGAAATTTATTGGTTTTTCTTCAGAGGCAAGTTTAAATCTTTCCTTGTGATTTTTGTTGAAGAGCAAGTGTGTGTCAGCTTTATAAAGCAGGAATTGTGAGTCCCTCATTGCCCACTGCATGGTGTTCATTAGTCCAATCTGGTGCTGAATTTCAGCAAAATTGCTCTTTGGAGATGGTATTTTTGAAAATTTTCTGTCTGTTTCCATTTCACATGTGTATTTTACATTGTAGGATATCAGCAGTCTTGTGACAATATTGGCGGCCATCTTGCACCTTGGTAACATAACCTTCATCCCAGTAGATGATGGAAGAGCCAAAATTGACAATGAAGAAGCCCTGAAAAAAGGTCTGAGAAATATTTAAATTTTCAAAGGGACAGATAAGGAAATGATCAAGATACAAAATTATGGGTCACAATATGTGCAAGTTGAAATTTGCCTCATTGTACACTATATGACTTTGCTGATTTCGTTCTTTAATGACAAGATGCAGAAAAGTAGGCCTAAGACAGTGATTCCTAACCTATTTCAGCCTTCATACCCCCGGAGCAATCACATGAATCTTTCTCAACCCAAAAATTTGTTACTTCCACATTTTCAGCATGTGTTGATGTGAGGTGCTCTCTCAATTAAAAATAAATTCTTCTCCTACACCAGTTGACCACACCCATGACACCCTAGTCCCACACCCCAGGGGGTGAAAACACCCTAGGCTGGGAACCAGGGGTCCTAAAATGTGGAACTTGATTTCATGTCATTATCTTGGTAAAGGGCAATATAGAAGTAAAACTCTATTTTATTTCAGTATCCAGTCTACTGTGTATACCGTCTGAGGACCTGCAATCAGCTCTTGTAGAAGATGTTCTAATTACTCGTGGAGAGCAGACGTTGGTGTATCTCACTGCACCTCAAGCCAGCACTGGGACGGACGCCCTCGCAAAATCACTCTATAGTCGGCTGTTTTCATGGATTGTTAATGGTATAAACCAATTTGTACAACCTGATGAAGAGTCAAGGTAGGTTGGATTTTTAGGAGAGGATTTTGAAAAAGGGGTTGGGGTCGGCAAAAGGGTACGGACTAGATGGTGCTTTTGCATAGTCACTGTACAGTCAGCTGTTTTCGTGGATTGTTTACAGTATAAACTAATTTGTACAACCTGATGAAGATCTTCAGGGGTGGAACTTTAGGGTAAGGGATAGCATCTCAAGGTAGTGCTTCTCTCTTCACAGCCTCTTATTGATATGAGAGTCTCGCAAATATTTGGACAAATGCACCTTTAGTAATAAAAGAAGGAAAATCGTGCAGAAATGAAAAAAATATTTTGAAGCTATTCTTAAACTTTTTGTTTTGCAGTTTCAGTGAATTCAGCCTATCTATCAGTATTATTGATTTGTTTGGTTTTGAGAATCTTCAACAGAACAGTTTTGAGCAGGTAACAAATTTGTTTCGGAGAGTCCACATAGCTAATTTTAATGGCTCATGCAATTAATGAAAAGTGAGACTGTGGCTAATGGGGTAAATTTGAAAAGACAAATTGGGTTGTCTTAATTAATGTCTTGGCACCATTGAACATTGCTCAATAAGGCACTTTAGAGTAAGATAGCCATTTAGACGTAGGATGTAAAATTCCATTTTGTATCAATTCATTTTATACCTTGATTCAAATAAACTGAATTGTTCTGGTTGCACATTGCAATACCTGAAAGGAACTGTAGAGTGGGGTGTAAAACTCCATTCCAATTATTATTCATCTCAATTTCAGATGTGTATCAACGTAGCCAATGAAAAGCTTCAGTTGTATTTTAATCAACAAGTATTTCAACAAGAGTTGGAAGATTGTAAAGCAGAAGGCATCAAAACAACAGCTTCACTGTATTCTTCTAATGATACAGTTATCTCCCTTTTCTTGGATGTGAGTTATTTCCCTTTATATGGACAATTTCCTTATGAGTAATGCCCCTTGATTTAGACAATATTTGCCTGATTGCTTCATGACACTTAAAAAGGAGGAAGGCAACACTTGGACTGGGTTTGACCAAGTACCAAAAGGCTTGTGAAATGAAATTGTGTAGTGGATACTTGCACAACATAGTTACCCTTCTGAAACACCCAAAATCATGAGAAAACAGGGTAAGAATTAGTTTGTCCCAAAGCTCAACCCTCATCTACATAAACCACCGTCCACAAAAGTAATTTTTTTCTCCAGAAAACCTGTAGTATTATGTCTGTCCTAGATGAAGAATGTAGTTTTCCTAAAGCTTCTGATAGATCTCTGGCAGCTAAAATCCACCAAGGACCAGGTAATAGAATAATCTACTTAATATTAGTAGTTCTCTCCCTTGTCTCAAGCTAGACTTAACTAGAGGTCAAATTTTTACTTATCCGACTAAGTGAAACGGGCAGATTTCATGCCAGGAAAGAATTGGAGCTGGAGCTCGTATTTTGTGCCGAGGTGGTGCATGAGGTCCTGTCAACGCAGCACAACACAAGTTCTATGAGCTGGGGGTCCTCTGGCATGAATATATGAAAAAAATAACTCATTTTTAACAATTTTAGGCTTCAAACACCTTATCAAAACGTTTATTTGGGTTTTTTTACGAAGACACTGTAAACTTTTCAATCAGGTAACCTGGTCCAGGTTTCACAATTAGAGATGCAGGGGATGATTTAGATAAAGCACAATTTGGATACCGAAATAGAGTAGGCAAATGCTACAGGTTTTTCATACTGCATTGTGTTGCCGTCTTAATCAGCCAAATAAGGAGCAGAAAAAAATATCCCATAATCCAATTTGTATTTTAGGAGATAAATATAAGAAGGTCTATAAATCACCTCGTGATGGTGGACCAAGTTTTAATGTGTGTCATTACGCAGGGACTATAAACTATAGTCTGGAGGGGGTTTTAGAGAAAAATAGAGATAAACTTCGACCGTACGTCACTACCACCATGAAATGTAAGTTTTCTAGGGGAATGAATTCTCTGGAGGGATTGACATGGGAAAACAGTCTAGACATTTAGATGGGATAATAAACCAAAGCTTAAAGTTCTATAGGCTGGGGACTTTTCAGTTGGAAATTGGAAAAGAGTGGGCCAATGCCGCTGTCCTGGCAAAGTTTCCCTCTTTGCACACTGCATCCCTTTCCCCATCTTTATAAGCAAGTCAAGATGCAGGAAAGTCGGATATCAAACTCAATTTTCTTTACATTTTTATCATTATATTCAATGTCTCAAGATTTTTCAACTTGGCGTCAATTTCAGCAAGTACAAAACTGATATTCCGAGAATTGTTCCAGACCACGCTTAGCGCCGTGGGATCTCTACAAACTAGTGTCAGGCAGTTCTCCATGAAGAGAAAACCTGAAAAATCCACAAAGGGACTAACCAAAATAGTAAGATTCTGTTATTTGTAAACTATCTATCACAAGGTTTGACCTATTACCAGCTGGTAGACAGGATCCTTGTAAACCAAAGTTGTCATTCTTGAAAGCTGACTTAATTTTGACCAAGGGCCAGCTGGTAAACAGGATCCTTGTAAACCAAAGTTGTCATTCTTGAAAGCTGACTTAATTTTGACCAAGGGCCAGCTGGTAGATAGGATCCTTGTAAACCAAAGTTGTCATTCTTGAAAGCTGACTTAATTTTGACCAAGGGCCAGCTGGTAAACAGGATCCTTGTAAACCAAAGTTGTTATTCTTGAAAACTGACTATCAAAAGCTTTGGCCAGCTGCAAGACAAATTGATACTTTCAAAAATGCTAAACCAAACTTTGAATTTGTTTTTGCAGGTTCACAGAGTTAAAGGAACAAAACCAGCCAAACGGTTGACTAGGAAACCACCGGCAACAATGGCGTTCCATTTCCGGGTATGGTTAACTTTTTATTTTTTTATTTTGAAATATTAGCTACTTTTTTGTGGGTGTTCGTTTGAATTCACTTTTATTATCCAATCAGATTGCTGCATTTATAAAAATTTAAGTTAAGCTACTTTTTTTGGTGTTCAAGTCATCTGATTGGTCAATCATGAAAACTACAATTTTAATTCAGGTATATTATCCAATCAGATCGCTGCATTTATAAAAATCTAAATTCATCTAAGTTAAACTTTTATGCATTTTAGGCATAGACTCGTTTTTTTGAAAATGTCAAATTAAGTTTTGAGCATGCCTGTTTTCACAGCATGTACACAGTTTTAGATTCCTATTCTCTGACTATATGCCAAAAAATGGTCAAGATTGTAATTCATTCTTAAACCTTCGTCCTTTTCAGAATTCCTTGAATGACCTAATGATAAAGTTATCCAGCACCAAACCTCACTTTATTCGTTGCATCAGTCCGAATACTCTCAAGACGCCAGCTGTCTTCATACCTTCGTATGTTCAAATTCAGTTGAAGTACACAGGCATCTTGGAAACGGTCAAAATTCGTAAAAACGGTTTCGCAGTTAGAGTCAAATTTGCAGATTTTCTTGGAAGGTAGGAATTGAGTTCCTTTTTCTCTCAAAATTTAATGAATTTAGCAAATCTTGATGATTTGTTTCATATTTTTTCTGTGGGTTATTTCTCTTGTCATCAGTGATCTATCAAACCCTGTGTCTTAATTGTGTTCAACAGTACTGAATCTTGATCCAATTGCATGAGATAATCTGGCAGAGATCTAAGTCAATAGGTCACAGATGGTAGACAGGATCCTTGCCAACCCCCTATATTAGAAAGTTCCCCCTTCTCCAAGACTAGCTGTCCTGATGAGGATCATGTATCTGAAACACATATCAGCATGAGATGAACTCTTGTCAATTAGCTAACATTCAGTGCTATATAAGAAAGTTAACTACCATTTCTAAAACAAGCTGTCCTGATGAGGATTGTGTATCTGAAACACATGATATCAGCATGAGATGAGCTTTCGTCAATTTGAAATTATTTATAGATACAAATATCTGCATGCCTTAAGAATGTTGGGAAACAAAAAGCCGCTAGTGGAATCTATGATGTGTAAACAAATTCTAGAAAGATGGAAAGTCGAAGGCTACCAGGTAAGTTGGTACTACTCTTTTGTCAAGGAGGTTCAATTAACACGCTTGTGGCTAATTTGAGAGTTTGGAGGTTCTGTGTTAAAGTTGAACTAATAATGAATGGAGTTTTATCTCCCACTTTTTTGTGCCTGCTAAGTCTACCACTGATTTGAAGATTGGCAATGCCATGTAGTGTGCAATGAGGGATCTTGCTAAGAAATTTTGCATTAGACTACTACTTCAAATGTTAGGAGATCTTCAATATACACAGCCTGTAGCACAAAGGAGGCCTTGATTTATTGTGCTATTCACACACCTAGACCTCCGTGAGATTCTCAAAAATTCTAATTACAATTCTTTTAAAATATTAATGTTTCTTTTCCTTTCTTGTGAAATTTGAAATTTTATATTTTTCTTCGCAGATTGGTAAGACGAAAGTGTTCCTTCATCCAGGACATCTGGAGAAGTTAGACTCCATCAATAGTCATTTTGATAAAATGGTAGTCAAAGCTCAAGCAGGTAAGGCAAAGTTTCTACAGCCTCTTCGGAGACCAAAGAGATAATTATGTATTTAAAATCAGACAACAATAGTTTAATATTCATGTGAACCCATTCCCTTTTTACCTACATGATGGTCTTTGGAGACTAAAGGGAGATAAATCTTGAAATAGTATTGATAAGTCAGGACACAACGAATTATTTCCTCTCCTTTTCAAAGGGATTCTATGCTTTCTGAAGACTAAGGGGAGATAAATCTTGAAATAAAATCAGACCACAATGAATATTGTCATTCATAGTGACAAATTTCCTTTTAATGCCAAAAAGATTCTGTGCTCTTTGGAGACTAAAGAGAGATAATTTTGGATATAAAATCAGACCACAATGAACTGATATGTCCTTCAAAATAAACACATTTCCCATTATTCCAAAGATTCAATGCCTATTGGAGACTAAAGGGGGATAATTATTGATGCGAAATCAGACCACAATGAATTAACATATTTTCAAAGTAACATAATTTCTTTATTTCCAGTTATGCGAGGATGTTATGTGCGGAAAAAAATGCAGCTACGTTATTCGAAGAGGGAACGAGATGCATCACATATAGAAATATTATCCTTTCATGTTAACCGATTACAAAAACGAGTCTATCAATACCAAACGGACCTCATCAAATATGATTTGGAGAGTGCCAAATTACAGTAAGTTTAAAGATTTTTAGGGGAATGGCAGGGCCATTTTTTCATCACCTCTGTAGAGAAGGGAATTTTGTCAGTCTAAAACAATATAGTCAAGCAATTTTCATGACACTCTGAGTAATAACATGTTTCAGGTTCTGTTTTGATATTTCTAATCCAGCAGAATTATTCGTGCACATCCGAGTATAATCATGAACAGTCCAGTTTATTTGTAGGTAGTATAAGTAGTAATGAACACGATATACATCTGGCTTGAATACTTTCAATTACTATTCATTCTCCCTCAAAATATAATAGACTGTTCTTGTTCATGCACATACAGTCTGATTCAAAACATAAATTTGATAGGTCCACTTTCTTTGTAGGTAGTATAAGTAGTAATGAACACAATATAAATCTGGCTTGTAAAGTTTCAATTATTATTTAATTTACCTCATAATAAAGAGAACTGTTTGTGTTTATGTTTTGAATGATATGACCATGCAAGCAACAGGATGTAAAACTCGCTTTCCTAGTTAGAAAGTTCCCTCAACAGTTTAGAATCGAAAAAAGAGCAGGCTAATGTCACTGTCTTGGCAAAATTTCCCTCATTGCACACAACATGGTGTTGCAAGGTGCAGAAAAGTAAGATGTAAAACTCCATTCATTTCATTTCATTCTCTCACTTTAGAAGCAAAGACGAAGAACAAGATGCATTACAAGCCTTGGACGATGTTTTTGTGGATGAGGTAGAATATGGGCGTATCTGGGAACTCAGCTCTTCCATAGACAATGCCGATGAAATCGATGAAAATTTCAAAAGATACAGTACCTATTTGACAGCTGTTCATGATCCCGCAGAATTGCCATTCACGAGAAATTCTGCCAATAATTTGGAACCGATAACAGAGTCTGGCACAAATTCTGAAAATCAGGCGCTCCAAGAACCAAACATGTATGAAAGCATCAAAGACCTAGATGAAAATCAGAACCCAATTCCACCCCCCACAAAACATAAATTCGTGACTTCGTATTACGTCAACCTTCCTAATCATGGTGAGGCTTTTGATTATTTGAAAAAGTATTAAAACTTTATTAGCTATGTGGACTCTCTGAAAGGGATGCTGAATTGACTAACATAAACATACAATAAACTTTACTAGCTATGTGGACTCTCTGAATAAATTGACAAACTGCAAAGAAACTGAGTATGGTACTTTAATACCTAAAATACCAATTTAAATGCAGTCAGTTTTCACTGGATTTTCAAGGCATCTGTGTCACTTTTCAAACATCAAATCTACTATACCAGGTTTGAAGTCTGATTACAATAATTTCAGGAAAGTGGTCCAAGAACCGACAGAGTGACGCTTCCAGTATAAAACCAGAAGACAGCATCTCCATTCAAGGTAGGATTTTGGGATTTCTTTTTTAAAGAAAACTAGAATTTTTTCTGCTTGGGGTGTCCCCCTGGTATTAATGCAGGTCAGAAGGACTTAAATGGAAAAAGCGTCTAGTCGCACAGTTGAGACCCTCTTGGAACCGCCCCCCTCCCCCTCCAGTGCCCCTTAACAGTTGCAAAACGAGAGAAAAGAGAAGGCCAATTCCGCTCTCTGGACAAAATTTCCCTCATTGAACACTACATGGCACTGCCCAATCCAGCGAACAAAAATAGGACATAAAAATATATTGACAATCATTTCATTTGTACTATTACTTTAAGAATATCAGTAACTCTATAGAAACTAAACCAAAAGTAGAGTTACAATGTCAGTATCCTGTATATAGGAGATATTTCCTGTTTCTATCAGCCTCAATATCAACGCAAACATCCTGACTGACTTTAACATTTCAAAATATTGCAGACGTCAAATAACATTGTATTTCGTTACGATCAGATATTGCTGATATTAAATTAAGTCAATGAATGTTTCAAATTTGAAAGATTGTAGAAAATATCGTCAAAATAAAGCTTCAAACTACTTGATCTTGAACTCATCTCATGTTGTTGTCATGTGTGTTTTGGATACAAAATCCTCATCAGGACACCTAGTTTTCGAAATGTGGTAAAATTGTCAATATACAATTCTATGATCATACATTTTGAAACACTTATTCGCTATACCAATGATTGTGTTAGAAAGTGTGTTATTGATATACTGATCTGATGCCATGGCCTGTGCTTTTGGAAGTAGATCTAGTGTTCTGTTTATGAATGTGTGTTATTAATATACTAAGTTGAAGGATTCAGGATCATTATTCAGTTTTCAACCTTGACCAGTGCTTCCTGGGACAGTATCCTCTATAACACATTGACTGATATCATCATTTGTGTTATATGGATGTTCTCTATTTGAAAACTGTGGTATTTTTATTGTTATTCAGGTACAATTTTAGCATCTTCAACCATCAGTAATTAAACACATTTCAAAATTTTTGTTGCTGTCTTTACAGTGTATATGCAGTTTTACTAGCCAATTTAAGGGGATAAAACCTGCGCATTATACTCTCAAATATACAATATATGGCATATAGTAAGAATGTTAACCATATGGTAGATATTCTATTAGAAAAAACAATTAACTAAAGTATAACTAACTAACTTAGACTCATTCTATTCATAGTGCAGAGAGGAACACATTCTTTCGTTTTCGTCTTATTTCTTGGATATTTAGTGTGTTCTTGGCAAGTACTTCTGTGGAGCTTACTTCTCAATTATCAGATAGTTTGAGATTATTTTGTGTCCATGGCCAGTGTTTCTGTGAGGATTTTCCTGCCAGCCAAGGTTTCCTACTAATGGACTGAGTAATTTTGGTTTTCATCTTAATTTGTGGATATTATTTGAGTTCTTGGTCAGTTCTTCTGTGAAGCTTACTTTCACATTTTCCTTATACAGTGAGGATATTTTGTGTCAATGACCAGTGCTTCTGTGGAGATATTAGTTTCAACCAAATTTTTTGGATATTTTTTGAAAATTATGCAATAAAGTGAAAACAAGAAAAATGCAGAAATTTTGCAAGCTAAGTAAGTAATTTAAATTTGGTCTTAAAGGACTGTTGATCTGACTGTTGATCTTTACCAGTCATGTCTGACTAGAGCTCTAGACTGTAGGGCTATTTACCAGTCATGTCTGACTAGAGCTCTAGACTGTAGGGCTATTTGCCAGTCATGTCTGACTAGAGCTCTAGACTGTAGGGCTATTTACCAGTCATGTCTGACTAGAGCTCTAGGCTGTAGGGCTATTTACCAGTCATGTCTGACTAGAGCTCTAGACTGTAGGGCTATTTGCCAGTCATGTCTGACTAGAGCTCTAGGCTGTAGGGCTATTTACCAGTCATGTCTGACTAGAGCTCTAGGCTGTAGGGCTATTTACCAGTCATGTCTGACTAGAGGTCTGGACTTGATTGACTGTATTTACCAGTCATGTCTGACTAGAGGTCTGGACTTGATTGACTGTATTTACCAGTCATGTCTGAATGCACTTTTATTTTTACCACAAAAAGGGGGATTTAAAAAAAAATGCAAGATGTTACAAAAATGTATGAAAAGACCAAAAATGGCTTTATGAAATGGAGCCAGATTATGAATCAAAACCATTGAAATGAATAGAAAAGAATTCTGAAACATGTTGCAGTTGGAACAATATTCAGAAAAAAACGGCGCCAACTGCTGTGTTAGTTAGAATATTGTAAAGAGTTTTACTCTGTTGTATTGTATTAGAATGATTTCTGCTAGTAAATTAGAACTATTCAACTAGTAAAGTCAAGTTGCCTTGACATTGAGTTAGAAGAATAAATGAATACTGACATGAACAGCTTATCATTTTTAGCTTTAAGAGATGAATGGAATTTTACATCCTTGGGTAATGATTGGGTAATGCCATGCAGTGTGCAATAAGTGGCATTTTGTAAGGACTGCATTATAGAACCAGTCTATGCATATTTTCTATGTATTATATTCTATGCATTATTCCAACATCTGTAGGTGCCAGTCATATCTGATTGGGGCTCTAAAATGACTGACTGCAATTTTGATCTTTGGGACAATTTCTTTGCAAATTTGAGATTTGTTGCATTTTTCACACATTCTTGTTGAAAAAGTATCAAATTTTGATTTACTTGTTAAAATGTACATTGACAATTTCTAAAATCAGCAATTGTGCTCACAAGTTTCTTCCTCATTGAGCCAACCGTGTCCCTTTTCAGCTGTGTCAATAACATATGATTTGTACCAGACTTGACAGAAGATAAACAGATTCTGTGGTTAATGTTTTGTTATATGTTTGATGATGTCTGCCAGCTGTAGTCCCGTGTATTATTAACAATGGGTTGAAATTATTAATATAATAATGTTCAAGGTATTATTAATAGTAAGATGGCCGCCACACAATGGCACTGTCTTCCATTGATGTTTTTAAAGATAGCTTCATTGATGAGGACTTAGGCCATCAAAGATATTTTTTTTGTGGGTGGAGGGGGGAGGGGAGTGGGGAGGGGAGAGTATGGGTGGTATCTGAGATTGTTTTTTAGTTGTTGATATTTTTTACTGTTCTACTGATGACCAATTCAGGCAACCTAATGCAGTGTTCAATGAAGGAAACAGTCATTATTTATATTTTTTGAGAGGCTCTGATTTATGATGCATAGCTTATGTAGCATAGCATTAAAGGTATACTCACTCATAGGATGACCAACTAATGCCGCTGGCCTGGCATAATTTCCCTCATTGCACTCTGAACGGTGTTGCTCGTCTTCATTAGCAAACGTGGTGCAGAAAAGTAGGACGTAAAACTCCATTCATTTCATTTTAGCATGACCAACAAATTTGAAATTTCTAAACTAAGTAAAAATTCATTCTAAGGGTGTTCCAAAATTACTTAGTTTAATAGATATATCATGTTATATAGAGATTCTATTCTTTAGTCATGTCACCTGGTAAGTCCAACTGATGAATATATACTCTTATTGACCAAGTTTGAGAATTCAAATTGTATGTGATAGCATATAGCATAGTTATACAATCATTATAGCCATTATTGAGGACATTTGAATGACATCCCAAGAAACAATGAATGAAGTCAAAATGGCCTAAGGCTAGCAGACACAGCTCTATGTAATAATACAGCCTTCCTCCCTCAATACAACATGTGCATTCATTAATAACGCTTAACTAACCCAACACCCCTATAACACACAATAGACTCTACCACTGTCAACAAAGAAATATTGTAATAGCAGACACACTGGACTAGGTTCATTTTCAATTCACATGGTAAATAGGATAGCTGAAATGGACTAAAAAATACTTATTCCTTTATATTATCTCACTCATTGCCTTATGATCATTTTTGGATTATTTAGACGTATAAGGTAGGCCAATTCTTTTGTGTTGAATTTGAAACTTTTTGTCGTCTGCTAGTTTTTGATGGTTTGGTTCATTTGATATAATAGATGATTAAGAAAGAGTCATTTGTTCATTTTTATGACTAAATGAATCTATTTCCATTTTTGGACAATTTTCTTAATCAGGATGGCAAATTCTTTGTCAAATTTTTTGAAAAAAGTGTCGTCTGCTACACATGAGCAGATGATTTTGAATTTTTCTCATTTCTTTTGTAGTAGTGGACAAAAATATTCATTTGTTTATTTTTGTCACTAAATGAATCATTTTCAGTCTTGGAATATTTTGTGTATTTACTTAATAAGGCTTGCAAATTTGTCATTTCTGAAATTGAAAAAAGCGTTTTTTTAAATAGTTTGCATGTTTGATGCAACCGAATTTGAATTGCGTCAAATCTTTTTTAAGTTTTGGACCAAAAAGATGCAAATGTTTCTGTGAATTGAAATTTAATTTTCATTTTTCGGTAAATGTCCTTATAAGGAAGACCAAAATTTTTTGCAAAAATAATTTGTCGTCTGCTAGTTTGAAGCTGTCGACGTTCTGTGGGGTCAAATCTTTTCCGTTTTGGACCAAGATAGCCATTTGTTTATGTGAATTGCTATCTTAATTTAATTTTCCAAATACTATCTGAATCCCAAAAAAAAATGTTGTTACACCCAAAATAATTTGTCGTCTGCTTGTTTAAATAGGTCATGACTATTAACAGTGTAAGAGAATTTGTCATGAAGTAGGAATGGTCCTAGAATAGTTCTAATAGAACTAATGGATGAATCACTCTTTGAGTCTGCAGGAAGTTCAGGCTTGTATGGAATTTATTGATAGTAACTAGGGAATTCCTGATAGTCATTCATGGTGCCATTGTCTTTTACTCTGAAATTGTTTTGATTGTTTGGAAATGAATTGATATGGATATTGCATTTTACTTTTGAGTAGGGGGATTTTAATGTTAAAATGAAGAAAAATATATAAAATAGGGTCTGAAGACTATTTACATATATACTCCAGACTCAACTCAACCCCTAAAATGGCGCACCTGTCCCTTTAACATATTTCTGTCAAATTATTTGATATACATGTTTAATTTCAAATGAAAATTGAAATCTTTGAGTAGTGCATATAGATCTTTATATGTTAAAAACTCAAAAACTCTTAAGAATTGTAGAAAACACACATGTATGTGTTATGTGTTCGTGCACATGTTTTTCATTCCCAGCATGTATTGAGAGAACATTTTGTAGTAATATAACTTACTCTAGTTTAAAATATGTTCTACTAGGTTACATTTCTTGTGGGAATTACTTTTTCATGAGAATAAAATTATATATTTCCTTAACCCTTTGAACAAGAAAATAATTTTATTTCTTTAACCCTGTGAACACGAAAACATTTTTTATTTCTTTAACCCTTTGAACACAGGCAAGATTTCTTAAATAAGAAAAAGAGAATGACTATTTTTTTACAAGGATAATAACTGTGGTTTATGAGGATCTTGTCTACCAGCTGTTACTTGGCATTGATCTTTACTGGATAATCCATTCTGATTTACAGCTGGGTTGACTGGAATTAAGAAGAAAGATGACTGCCCATGGTTCAGTCTGTTCTATAGGATGTCAAACTCCATTAATTTCATAAGTCCAGTTTCACAAAAACAGAAGTGTTATTTTGCAATCAATTTTTTGTATTAAATTTGAGGAAAATGAATTTGTATTCAAAACTTCTGAATATAACTGGAGTAAGGAAAGTTATCCATTGTTACAAATTGTTGATCATTAATATTTAATAACTTTCCTTATATCTGCAATTCAATTTTAGCTTTTTGTTAAAAAGAGAAGGTTTCTGAACAACTTGGATGTTAAATGAAAAGCCTTTAGTTTTTTTTTCCTGTCATCTGATTGGTCAATAATTAAAGTTGATCTTAAATACATTTTTGATTAACCAATCGGATTACTGAAATACTTAACTTATGTTTTAGTCATTTGATAATTGCATTTCTTATTAACTTAACTAATTGTAGACAATC